CCATTTTTGCTAAGGGACATCTCCACCCTTTACTGGATGCAGAGGCATGTGGGGGGAAACATTGTCACCGAGGATGAGGAAGAGGCTAAGGTACTTACCTTCTTTGCCTCAGTCTTTAGTAGTCAAACCAGTTATCCTCATGGTATTCTGCCCTCTGAGTTGGAAGACAGGGACAGAGAGCAGAGTAAACCCCTTACAATCCAGGAGGAAGCAGTTAAAGACCTGTCACGCCACTCACAAGTCTATGGGGCCGGATGAGATCCACCCGAGAGTGCTGAGGGAGCTGGCGGAGGAAATTGCCAAGCCTCTCTCCATCATTAACCATGGGGCGAAGAAACTAAAAAAGCCTCTCTCCATCATTTACCAGCAGCCCTGGTTAACAGGGCAGGTCCTGGTCCACTGGAGACTGGCCGATGTGATGCCCATCTACAAGAAGGGCAGGAGGGACGATCGAGGGAACTACAGGCCTGCCAGCCTGAGCTCGGTGCCGGAGAAGGTTATGGAATGGTTCATCCTGAGTGTGCTGGCACGGCACATGCAGGACAGCTGGGGGATCAGGCCCAGCCAGCACGGGTTCATAAAGGTCAGATCCTGCTTGATCAGCCTGATCTCCTTCTATGACCAGGTGACCCATCTAGTGGATGAGGGAAAGGCTTCTGGACATTGTCTACCTGGATTTCAGTAAAGTATTTGATACTGTTTCGCACAGCATCCTCCTGGAGAAGCTGTCGGCTCATGGCCTAGACAGGTGGATTCTGCACTAGGTTAAAAACTCTCTGGATGGCTAAGCCCAGAGAGTTGTGGTGAACAGAGTGAAATCCAGTTGTTGGCCAATCACAAGCGGTGTTCCCCAGGGTTCAGTTTTGGGACCATTTTTTTTTAATGTCTTTTATCGATGATCTGAATGAGGCATCGAGTGCACCCTCAGTAAGTTTGCAGGTGACACCGAATTGAGCGGGATTATTGATCTGCTTGAGGGTAGGAAGGTTCTGCAGAGGGTTCTGGACAGGCTGGAGCAATGGACCAAGGTAAATTGTATGAGGTTTAATGAGGCCAAGTGGGGGGTCCTGCACTTGGATCATAACAACCCCATGCAATGCTACAGGCTTGGGAAGAAGTGGCAGGAATGGTGCCTGGCAGAAAGGGACCTGGAGTTGCTGGTGGACAACTGGCTGAACATGACCCAGCAGTGTGCCCAAGAGGCCAAGAAGCCCAACAGCATCCTGGCCTGTATCAAAGAGAGTGTGTCCAGCAGGAGTAGGGAAATGACCATGTCCCTGTACTTGGCACTGGTGAGGCCACACCTCAAGTAGTGTTCAGTTTTGGTCCCCTCACTACAAGAAGGACACTGAGGTGCTGAAGCAGATCCAGAGAAGGGCAATAAAGCTGGTGAGGGGTCTAGAGAACATGTCTTAAGAGCAGTGCTGAGGGAACTGGGATTGTTTAGTCTGGAGAAAAGGAGGCTCAAGGAAGACCTTACTGCTTTCTGCAACTATTTGAAAGGAGGTTGCAGTGAGGTGGGTGTTGGTCTCTTCTCCCAAGTAACTGGTAATAAGATGAGAGGAAAGGTGGTCACGGTAGTGTTGGATTGACAGTTAGCCTTGATGATCTTGGAGGTCTTTTCCAATCTTAATGGTTCTATGATTCTGTGGTTCCTCTAGTGATCCAGTTTGAGTAGAGCTGAACTCCACTTGGGAGCTGCTGTAAGCTGGAAAGAGAAGGATATCAGCCACATGATTTTACTGCATATAGGACACGTGGTGGCTAGCAAGTTGGGTTTCTGGTTGTTTCTGGACTGCTCTTACCCAGCATGAACAGGTACCTCAGGGAAGGTGACAGGTCAGCCTTGTTGCTGCAGAGATGAACCCTGGGGCACTCTGTTGTGTTGCACCACCTCTTCTTCCCCCCTTGCCTCCCCCAGTCAGGAATGAGCTCTCCTCCGAGTCCTGCCAGTTTGAGCTTTTAGTGTTTTGCCTGTTCTCGGTGAGGATGCAGCAGCTTCCAGGAGGAGAATGAGTCAAAAGGCATGACCTTAGATCTATGCTTCTGGCAGCTGGAGTCCAGAGAAAAGGGCTTGAGGTTGTAGGAATAATTACTGTTGATGATTTACTGTGTGGTAATAGATTAAAGGCATCCTGTTTCCTATCAAGATCTTAAGGCATTACAAGTTGTTGTGACCTTTGTATACGGTTTCCAGCGGTATAAAATAAAAGCAAAGCAAATCTCAGTGTGAAAATAAGAATGCATGTGAAACACATGTATAAACCCTGTTCTTTTTCTTCCTCTCTATGAGGAAACCAACAGTGAGCTATTAACTGTTAACTAGGGCAGCATTCCCACTCCAAACAAAGCTACTCACTGTGTGTTCACTGCAGCCTGCAATTTGGGAAATACTTTGCTATCCCTCTTCTTGATTTATGAGACACCTAAACATCTAAACAGTTTTTTCCTATAGTTTTGTAATGTTGTGTTAGTCCATAGTTGGATACTTAAATGAGAAGACTGGTTGAATAAATATTTTAGTCACCTCTATTAGTGACATCTGTAATAAAACTATGATTTAAAAAAAAAATAAATGAAGAAATTGGTTCTACTCAGGCAGAATGTGTTTTTAAGCACAGATTAAGAACTGAGAAAATTACTGACTTATCAATAATTGTGTGCTCCCAAAAAATGTAACAAGAAAAAGATCTGAGAGTTTCTTTACAACAGATTTTAATCAGTCAGTTAATATTTAGGATTTGGATAGCAAAATCATAGAATGATAGAATTGTTTGGGTTGGAAAGGACATTAAAGATTGTCTAGTTCTAGTTCCCCTGCCATGAGCAGGGAAACCTTCCACTAGATGAGGTTAGTTCAAGTCCCATCAAACTTGTCTTTGAACAACTTCTGGGCAACCTCTTCCAGTGTCTCACCACCCTCATAGGGAAGAATCTCTTCCTTATAGCTAGGCTAATTCTGTGCTCTTTCAGTTTAAAGCCATTATCCCTGGCCCTATCACTACATGCCCTTATAAAAAGTTCCTCTGCAGCTTTCTTGTAGGCCAACCTTAGGTGCTGGAAGGCTGCTGTAAGGTCTTTCTGGAGCCCTCTTCTCCAGGCTGAAAAACCCCAACTCTCTCAGCCTGTCTTCATAAGAGAGGTGCTGTAGCTCTCTGATCAGATTTATGTCCCTCCTCTGGACCCACTTGAACTGAATGCAGTACTCCTGGTGGGGTCTCAGAAGAGCAGAGGAGGGGGAGAATCGCCTCCCTCAAACTGCTGGTCGTGCTTCTCTTACTGCAGACCAGGAGGCTCGTATTCAGGTTTTTTGTCCATCGACACCTCCAAGCACTTCTCCACAAGGCTGCTCTCAATACACTCATTGCCCAGCCTTGTATCTGTGCTTGGGGTAAAATAACAGATTGTTCCCTGTAGTGGAGAGAGATGAAAAGGATCAATTTTGCAAACATACATGGGTATATCCTGATTCCGTTGAATAGAAATCTGGGATGTTAGTCTCAAAAAAGGTGCCAAACTGCCAGAAATTTGGCTTAGGACAAACGTAGGGTAGTGGAGTAAAGAGAATTTTTGCATTTTCTGACTGGTGGTCGATTTGGTCTAGTTGAGAGGTATGAGGTACCAGGTCATCTTACCTAGGATTCACTTGTTTGTTTAAACAGAAGTAATTTTTAGGCTTAGTTGATTTAAAACTTTTGACCATGGTTTTAAAGCAATTTACACACAGATGTGTCCTGTACTCTGTTTCCTTTCAGAAAAATGAGACTTGAGCACTTAATCAGGTATAAGATCCCAAATGTGAGTGTACATTGCGTGCAGCTGCTCATGAGTCTCCGAGCTGGATTCAACCCTAAACTTGCTGAATTTGCTTGACTTCTTTGTAACAAATCAGTCCCTGTATGTGATTTCAGTATCAGTGCTGACTCTTCAAAGTGTCTGCTCTATACTCTTGGTTGGTTTAGGTACAGGACATCTGAGCACTGATGTCAAATACATGCGGGTAACACTGAGGGCAGCTGCAGGTCATTTTCTGTAGTGTCCTTCTGCTCTTGGGGAAAAAATAAAAAGCCCTTTGCTTCCAGGCAAATAGAAAATGGGGAAATTTAAGAAAATGTGATACACTTTAAAAAACTCAAAACACTTTCCAAGAACTTCATCGGAAATTTTTCCTACCAGGTGAATTTCTGGTTTTGCAGTGTTGTGGTATTCTCTGCTAGGGCTGTGTAAACGTGAGGCAAGTACCAGCCTGTTGGAAAGGTCATCTGAATTATCTGGCCCTTTGAAAGGTGCTAAAAATCATTGGTTGGCTTGATTCAGTTTTAGACCCGTGACTAAGGCTACAGGACTTTATTCAACTGTGCTGCATATACGTGCCATTCGAAGTATGGTGTGATTATAGCCACAATCTAAAGACTATAAACATAATTCAGGAACAAGATACTCTCATTAAAGATGGTTTACTGTAGTATTTTGACCACAGTCTGAACAACGGTTTATGTCCCAGGACACTGACTACTTACAGCAATGTTTTAGGGTGGGCTTTAGTCTAAAGAAAATTTAAAAATTAAACAGCTCTTTTAATCTGTTTTTTGTGGAGCAGATTAAGACCATTGCTTAAATTTGTTAACAAAGATACGATGGCTTAGTTGTTAATGATCTTTTTCCCTATGTAAAGTGATATGTGTGAAAAATAAAACAGAAATCTTTATTTGATTAAGAAAAAAACCACCCTTTTGATAGTTCCAGTGATGCTAAGTGTATGGTTGATGTCAGCAAACACTATCTGGGGTGTTGAGTAATGTTTTGAGATGCCTATGATATTGCTTCATAGCTCTGCTATTGTTTTGTTTACTCTTTTGTTGTTGTTTGTGGCTGCTGAAACGTGCAGGCCTATGAGTTTTGATAATGAAGTTTAGTCTCTAAAAGCTGAATCAAAGCCATTAATGTGGGTGCAGTAAATGCTGAAAGGTCTTGTTTTGTTTTGTTTTGGTTTTGTTTAGCCTACAAGTCCCAAGTTTGGAAAAGCAGACTCGTATGAAAAACTAGAAAAACTAGGGGAAGGATCCTACGCTACAGTATACAAAGGGAAAAGCAAGTAAGTGGTGATTTTTTTAATTTAATTTTCTGTGTAAAAGAAGATAAGCTGAAAATATTAACGGATGTTGCTGCACTTGTAGATAGATCCCTATGAACGAATGCAAAGTGCTACTGGCTGTCATGTGCTCTAGTGAAAGAGGCTGAGGCCATATTGCATAGTTAACATTGCCTTCACATCAGAACAAAATGAGATCACATCTTATCAATCTGGTGCTTTGTTTGTAGTTTAATATTGTCCTACTTTCTCAATATTCATACCAAATTAATTTTTAGATGTAAAAGCACACTATTCTGTGAAGTATATTGTTCTGATGTTCTGAGAGCAATGCTGAATATATGCAATAAGTTGTTAGTCTTGTTGGTCATTACTAAAATGCTTGAATAAAATAACATGAAGGGAATGAATGGAAGTTTGGACTACGGTAAGATTAGTTTGTTTACAGTGGTTGCAACTACTCCACCATAAAATAACCTATTGTATACATGTCAAATACTTTTTTCAGCCACTTTAATGTTATTTGTTGCAATTTTTTTATCCACAATGCCTTAAGTGTTTCTATGTTATATAACTCAGTAAACACACTTAAAATATGCTTCTTGAGCTAGTGTTTCAGTTGAGAGTTAGTTATCTGTTGTCAAACAGAATGTCTTCTGCAAGATGCTGTAATTAATCAAGTTTTCATACGAATTTTCAATAGCAATAAAGCAGTTCTGAGAGAGGGATTTGGTACATGCGATATATTAAAAACTTTGTGTAGCAAATGATAGATGAGGCAACGTTACCATTTTTGGCAGAGAGAATATCATGACAGTCATGAAACCGACTACTGAAACAAAGAAGTGTGTTAACATTTTATAGGGTCATTAAGTTAGGTAGGTACTGAAAATTATTTTTTTCACTATTTGTAATAAATCAGAATGCGGGTTGCCCTCATCTCTCGGTAGCTTTGAGATTGATGAGCATAGTGACAGCTAAATCAGCTACACCACACATTCTAAATGTAGATCACTGTGAGTTCCAGATATTATACATAACTAAGCTTTTATTTGGGTCTGTGTAATAAGAGAAAATGGTACAGATTTCAGCTTGGGTCTTATTACTAAAACCGTTTAGTAAGATCACAGCATGCACCTTGTGATAGTTATCAGGTATGCCTCAGCTTTCAATAAGGTTGAAGTAAGGTAACAGGGGTGCTAGGTGTCCCATCCATCAGTGGAGCAAACTGAAAGTTAAAACCAAGACAAAGTGCTTCCCTGAAGCTATTTCATTCAGTGGTGATTTGTGAACAATTTACTAAACGCAGATTGGTTAGAAATATTAATTTGTTTTAGTAGAGTTGACTGCGTATCTGTAAGAAATACTTTAATGATTTTAATGGTAGTTGAATAAGAAATTGAAATTATTTGGCTCTCTGCATTCTCTGTTCATTATAAATAGTAAAAAATTATGTAAGTTCCATTGACTCTGTGTTTGGCTAATAACTTGGACATTTGCCATGCAACAGGTGTGAAGTAATAGGTGCCTTTTGAACTCCTGTATCATTTCATTGCATGGTTGAGATGAAGAAGTGGGCTCTGTCTGTGTATTGGCATGTTTATCTATCTGCTGCCATTGACCTTTTTCCCTCTTGAGCTTGATTGTAAATTCACCTGAATGTACAGCAGTGGGATCTGCCTTGATCTGTGGCCTGTAAATGTTGATGTGAGTTATGAGACTCTGGAGACAAAGCTGTTGGCAGCATAGGGGAGCTGCTGCCAGCCAGAGCTCCTCACAAAGGAGTGTGAAGGCCTTGCATCCCCGCACTGGGAGCTCTGCATATTGCACTTAAGGGAGAAACCTGTGCTTTTGGCAATATAACAAGTTGGCATGGTTTCTGTCTTCTCCTCCCACTGTGTTCAATTGCCCTTCAAGGCAAAGAATTAAAAAAGATTACCTCAGTTAAAGCAATGTGATCTGTGACTGCTGCTTGCACAGCATGCATCTGTGTTTTGAGAGGCAAGCCAATGGTATCTCTACTGCTTCTGCATTTCTTGATCTGCTTCTTGATTGTCCATGTGATTTCTAGTGTGCCTTTATTTTTTTGTCACCTTTACTAAGTTGCATGAGCTCACAGTATTGCAAAAATGTGTAGAATTTGTAAAAAAGATCTCAAAAAATTAAGTTCTGCCTGATTTCCCTACTACAAAAGTACATAATTTCAATTTATCCCTAATAAAGTGCTTGTCCTAATGAATTCTGGTCCCTATCCCTTTTAGCTGTTAATATGAAAAATTTGTAGAGCACGGAGCAGGGCACAGTAGAAGCTGATGCTGTCAACAAGAGCTTAAAGACTTCAAAGGCAGGGCAGTCCCTCAGTTAAGGTAGTTCTCCCATTTCTGTTTGAAATATGACTTTTTTTGTGTTCAAGGTGATTCCGACATGCACCCAAGACAAAAGATATTTTTTCAAGTAGCTTAGGGTATTTTACACTTAGTTCCATCAAAGGCAGTACCTTTTACTTTTCACCTGAAAATCGATAAGGAGTTCATGGTATAAAGTATGGACCTTAGAAATTGTGCTCAGGAGGACAGGCACCATGCTCTGCACCAGCTGCAGTGTCCATGCTGCTGGAGCAGCAGGGAATATTTGAATGGTCGGTGGGAACTACCTGTATTTGTTACCGACATGATGTATTGTACCATCTGTTATGAATATATAGCTGACCATCATGTTTCATGTATGTGTTTGTGGGTGACTGCTCACAAGAAAAAGAATGCCTTAAGTATTTTGAACTTGTCATAGTTTTGTCTGTCACACTGTCACTTTTTAGTCATTCTCTTAGCTTTACTCCATGCCCGTGTATGTGTTGAGTTCACATACTCCCTGATAATGTTTCATATGCAACAGTCCAGTTCCTAGATAATGTGCTCTTTTTTCATGTTTTGGCCAATTTCTTTAGGCTGAATGTTTCAAAATTGCTACGATTCATGTTGCCTTAGTGACCTTAACTTTCCAAACCTTTTATTTTAGTTCTTGCAAATTGTATGAAATCAGTGTTCATCTACAAATGAAACTCTTTTCATCTGAGGATACCAGATGGCTGAAAAAGGAATACATATGCATGGATTATGGAAAGGCACTTTGTGGCTACCTACTAGAGCTTCTCAATTTTTTTTTTCTTCTTTCCCCTCCCCCTCCTTTTTTGTTGTTTTTTTTAAGCTGATATGCTTAACTGATTTTTGTAGTCTGTTTTCTACTATACATTTTAAAGTCATGACATGGGTTTAAAAAGTTTGTATGTAGATGCTTTTAAAAAAAATCTCTAGCATTGTGAATCTTTAATAAAAACAATAACTTCAAGTTGAACTAGATGGAAATATAATGATGATGAGATGTTGAAATAAAATGCCAAATGGTAGGGAAAATTATTGAAGTAGTGTAAGTACTAAAATAAATTACTAAGATTCTAATTAGGTGATGAATTGTTGACTGTATTAATCATTTACTGAGTCGATTTCTCAGTGTTTAAGAGAAATACTGGGGGATTTTTCCTCTATAGTTGTACATATAAAGAGAACACTACACTATATATGCTGTTCTTCAGCCTTCAAAGCAGTTTACAGAGGTAACAGCATTATTATCTCATCTAGCAGGGGATGAAACTCAGGAAAGAAAATCTGTTATTTACTGAAGATTGCACAGGGAAATGTGCTAGAAAAACGAGGACAGAGCACAGTTGTATTAGATAAGGGTGCTAAAAGTTGTGTGATAGCAATTTATTTGCACTGACACATGTATGAATGATTGTAATGGTAGAGCAGACACTAAAGTAATTTGTCAACTAAATGCCATCACGCACCAATGTATTTTCCAGTTAGCCACAGAATGGCATCCCTCAAGAGAATCCCCTGTGACTGTTAATGTGCAGGGTTGTAGGAGGCCACTTTACTTACAAACAGTACCACTGTGCTTGCCTTCAGATTCTCTTTAGATGAAAATCAGTTCTTTATATGAACATCAGTGGGGCCCAGAGGGATGCAAGGTGTATACAGGGCAAAGAGAGAGATGCAAGATGTATGGAGGGCAGCCAGTGCTGCGCATCACTCTCCCTGCTGCCAGTCCCAGGGGGTTTGCTGCTAGTGCAGCCCCTGTGCTTAGATGAGTAGCTGATAAGCTTGACCTCAGTGCTGTGGGTTGGGAGGTAGGGATGAGGGACCTGGAGGTAAATGCTCTGATGCTGCTTGCCTGTTCATGCTCAAGTGAGGGCTGCCACATTGTTTATCTGAGACTGCGCTGAGTTCTGTGAAGAACAGGATCCCCGAGTTTCAGCAACAACAATTATTAATAATTTAAATCCTTCACCTCTCTCAGAACTCTTTGATCTTCCGTTTTTCAGTGCTCACAAATGTCAGCTTTATGAAATATCTCTAATCCACTGGCTTCTTCCAAAACAAAGTAACTTTTGTTTTGGCTGGAGTTTAAAAGAATATAGTGGGAGTCAAAAAGAGAAATTGAGGTGGCGTGTTAGTCCCTTGAGTATTTGCACCAAAGGGCTTTAGCAGGGCTGCAAGTGGTTTCTGTAAACTACAAACCTAAGTCCTTTTCAGTAAAAGAAATATAAACCATGTTTACACTGAACTATCTTTTATGATAATGATTCTTAAAAGTGTTTCCCTTGATTTGGAATTAGTTATTGGTGGGATAATCAGAGGTGACTAAACGTACAGTGAATTTGCCTCTGTCAGGTTTCTTCAAATGAAAGTTCTGGCAGAGCCTGGTTTCATTAGGCCACCATGGTCTACTTGGGGTTTTAGACATCTGTTTGTGACATTAATATCACTACAGAGCTGATCTAATGTGAAAAAATGGCTTTATAATTTTTTAAAATGTGATATAGTTCTTTTGGAAGGACCAATACTCTATTTAAGTTCCCTAAGCAGGGTGCCTGTAGGGTGTAGCAGGAGTGAGAGCAAATAGAAGACAGTGGCAGGGATTTAGCAGGAGCAAGGCTATACCCTAATGTCACCCTTTGCTCATCTCCGCGGCATTGTCTTGACTGCATCCTGAGATTGCATCAGTGGGAGAATAGCTGCCCCATTTCCTTAGTACCTCCTTGATCTGCTTTTTTTCCCTTTGTGTTCTGCATTGCCTTAGATAGATGCTACATAGCATCAATCCTGTTCTTGATCTGCAAAATGATCTTGCTTTTCTTATTCAGATTCCTCTTGGACAGTCATTTCATCTACTGTAAAATAATCAAGTCATCCAGCTGTCTAACTTATACACCTGTGATAGGTAGGGTTGTGTATTGGAGAAATTGAAAGTTACATGTGCATATTAAACAGCACATCTGTCTCAGTCTTTCTACAGCTGCCTTTATGGTGGTGTGTTCTCTTGTCTGTGCACGACACATGAAGTTACTTGGGGCAAGGCTCATCTTTTTCCGATGCCAGAAGTCCTGTTTAAATCTGAACAAAAATATACATAAGGCAATTATAAGGAGAAATCCAGGTGATCCAGGAGGGTTAACCTGATAATTATCTTTCAACAGTGACTAGAGGCCTGAGACTTGAACTGGAGCCAGGCTGAGGAATTGTGAATAGTTAGAAGGTGATTACTAAGCCATCTTTTGATAACCAGGGTTTCTTAAGTTGCTTAGAGTCATTATGCAATGCTGTGTATAGGGCTAATTTCATTCTGACAATTGCAAAAGAAAATTAATCAGAAGAAACGAGACAGTAGCCATCCTGTCACTGAAGTCATCTGAATGCAAAAATTTAAAGCCTGAGGGAAAAAATGAATTCAGAATTCATAAATGTGTCTGCATTATCTTGCTTAGAAAAATGAATACATCTTGTATGGCCCAAAACAAGAGTGAATTTGTGGCTGCAAAGGCTAATTTTATTTTTTCAAAAAGAAACTGCAACAATAATAATAATAATGGGGGGGAGGGGAAGGGGAGGGAAGAGGAGAATGTATTATGGCTTTTTGGTAATCTGTCCTCACCATTGTAGTCATACCTGTGGAGTCTGTTAAAGTTTCAGAATCTGAGTTTGTTCTTGAGGAGGGTAGTCAGTATCACTTTTTCTCTTTCATTCAGTTTTTGGTTTTGTGAGATTTAATTGAGATAAACTGAACCAACTAGTTTGGGGTTTTTTTTGTTTGTTTTGCAAGGCCTTGAATGTTATTAATGTGTGGTGAAATTTTGAATGCTAAAAGTGAAACCAACTAACTAGCTTTTAAACTAGAGTGACCAGTTATGAAGTTTTGTCCTTTGGAGCACAAAATATTTTTAATGTTATAAATGAGAGTCATCATAATCTAAAACTAACCTGAGCCATCTAGTCAAGAATGTACCTTAGGAGCAGTCCAGCCCTGACAGGAAATTGCCAGAATAACCTGAAAAATATTTCCCATATTCCATAGTTTTTTGAGGGCAATAATTGTGGATGTGATGCAGTGGGAAGGAGGAAATATGTATAAATATGGATGTACTTCAAGTGGGGTGATTAATGAAAATCATATGCTGTTTTTGAACAAGTGCATCAAATAAAGGACAGATACTTTAAAACTGTATTTTACAATGTGATACTTCACAAAGCTTCAGTTTAGTACAAAAAGGATAGAAAGGAAACTGACTGACTCACAGAGAACTGAGATCATTTCTTGGATTGCATCTGAGTGTGAAAATATAAAGCTGACATTATGGAAGCTATGAAGTGTTTCTTACAGTGCTATAAATGAATCACTGGCATTGGCACGAAGAAATTGAATAAGTACATGATGGGAAGCAAGTTCTGTTAAGAGAAATACTGTTTCTGCTTTAATTTTGTTTTTTATTTCTCCTTCCTTTCAGGGTAAATGGAAAGCTGGTGGCACTGAAGGTGATTAGATTACAAGAAGAGGAAGGTACTCCATTTACTGCTATCAGGGAAGGTATACACTCACATTTAATGTTTCTACATGGGATTTTTTTTATTTCAGTTACATTGCACTTCTCATTTCTGTGCCATGCTATAGTGAATAGCTTGAGAATCCAAATTATATTGTTATGTTCTCACTAGGAAGAAACTTTGGTGCTTGGGAAATAAAGCCTCTACTGCGGGAGTTCTTGCAGAAGAACTCAGATCTGCCTCTGCTTTGGCTTCTGTTAGATTTACTATACAAATGAGTACTTAAGAGCATGTTTAAGGTGAGTGTAAGAAGTCACTCTGGAAGATGAGGGAACTGTGCAAGTTGCTCTTCTTGCCTGCAGGCAGAACCTAAGATGGTGTTAGATTTAATTTTTCATATACCTGCAGCATGAAATGAAGAAGTGTTCCTTGATGAAGGCAGTCAGAAGATCAGGGTGCAAAAACAGAGGTGTCTTGGAAGCTGTCTGTAGTCTGGGACTAGCTTTTGTTTGGTTTACCTTGCCCATGGACTCTTAATCTGCATGGCTTGTGAATGACACTTACCTATCATTCTTGGAGATGCTCTGCTCCTTTATCACCTTTGTCAGCCTCTCATGGTCCCTAGTGATGACTGCTTTATCTAAGTCTGCCTATCAAGCTCCTTGCCAGAAATTTCTGGATGTGCCTTCTCTGTGTGGGCCTCCTCCGTTAGAAGGTACTAAAAATGAGCCTTGACAGAGAAATAATAAACAGTTTACCATCACACTGATTCAGACTTAGCTGAAGTTGGTAGTGAGCTAAAGAAATGAGTCTGATATGGCTTCTGAGGGCCCTTTTAAATGTGTGGTCTAATTCCCAAGGTGGGATGAGCCAGGGAGGTAGCAGAACATCCACCCTCCCAGGGTCCACAGCAGTGTGCAGCTTTGTGGCCATCACAGCCGCAGTCCC